ACAAAAATACCTTTAAAAAGTTGGAAGAAAAACAAAACAAAACAGAAAAGCGGTTAAGGCTTGATGGCTGACGCCAGAATGCTAAGAGTGGAGGCCGCCAACGCACAAGTGACACGAGACGGGAGACGTGCGGATGAGGTGCCCCGAGAGTTCCCGAGGAGGGAGGGCCTGCATCTGCCTGCCTCTGACGCCCACGCTGGGAGGGAGGCATGGAGCTTGACCTTGGAAATCAGATAAGGTGTCCACGTGGGGAAAGGAAGAAGAACTCTCCTGGACACAGACCGGTGGTGTGGGCGTGCAGAGCACGTGTGGAAACCAGGGGGAGTGCGGACTTGCCGAGGCCTGGCGCCGAGGACGGGCTTGCTGGCCCTGACCTCAGAGGGTCCCAAGGCACGGAGTGGGGGGACAGACGTACACATAGGAAGGTGAGGACTGACGACAGCCCAGGTATGTTTGGTTTGGCCAAGATACTGTCCCTAAAAGCTTGAGCCAATTTGGAAAATTAGAAGATTTCACGTAAAAATTCAGATTTCTGGCTTCTCTTGAAAACTGGCAAGACAAGGGCACATGTCTGCAGGACAGCAGTGTTGGCTGAGCTGAGGAATACCCCCCTCTGGGCCCAGGGAGTCTGTCTGCCCTGCCGCACCTTCCTACTGGGCTCCACAGGCTCTTAAGACCCGGGCGCTGCGGATGAGAGGCAAACCCAGGATGGCGTCAGGCTCCTTAGGGGTCCGGTGAGGGGGGGGGGTGTGTCTGTGTGTCACTCAACATTCTTCGTATGTACAATTCAGTGATATTGATTACCTTAGACCTTTGTAATGGATCCGTTGCCAAATTTCTGATCACCATAAAACGTTACTGTTTCTTAGTTGAATGTGTTGCTCTCCTGTGTCCCCTGGGCCCCACTGCCACCCGAGCTACACTGTTCTCTTTCAGATCTCAACATGCGTGCGAGCTTGTGTGCGTGCTGGCTCTCAAAATCAAAAGACGTGAAGACATCTAAAGTGTCTCCAGAGGCAGCCAGGCCACCCAGGATCTGCGGCGTGCCTCGCAGCCAGCGCCATCAGTGTGTGTTGGTTCTGTTGTAAGCAGACGGACTTGGGGGACTTGTCTGAACTGCGGCTTTGGACTTGGGTTTTCCCCGCCAGAGCCCAGCCTTGGAGCTTGACTCGGCGGTCTGTTCCTGCTCTGGATTTCTAGTCTGCCCTTCTCGCAGTGCTTCAAACTCGGCGCCCTCGTCTCTGTTGGCGGACAAGTCTGCGGCAGCTTGGATTCCTCCTGTTGCTGCTGCCGTCCAGCCCGTTGAACACAGTAGAACTGCGCCACGCGGTCTTCGGAGCTGTGACCTTTTGGAAGCAGGTCCCGAGACCTGTTTGCTGAGACCCTTCTTGGTGGTTCGGATGTGGCTACCTTTGGGCGGGTCGTTGAACACATCAGCAGTTGTGCCACCCTGAGACTTTTGCTGTCGGCTGTTACCGAGTCGATTTGGACTCGTGTACAGTGGAACGAAACCACGCTCGGCCTGCGCCATCCTCGTCGTCCTGGCTGCCTCTGAGCTCCTTGTGGCAGCACCGCAGCAAGGGTCTAACTCTGGTTTCCGCCGCCTTGGCCAGGCATGGTGTCCTCCTCCTGGGACTGGAGGGATAGGAAGTCCACATGCAGTGGATTCAGGGGAGGGGCTGCGAGACGGGTGGGCCGTAGGTCCCAGGAGACCCCACAGTTTGGCCTCCTTTTGTGGCAACACGCATGAAGGGCTCTTTTTTCTGTGGCAGTTTACCCTAAGGGCGAGCCCTTGTAACTGTAGATCAACTTACAGAATGGCGGGACGGCAGGAAAGGAAAACAAACGAAAGGGATCTTTTTTCTGTGGCAATTTACCCTAAGGGCGAGCCCTTGTAACTGTAGATCAACTTACAGAATGGCGGGACGGCAGGAAAGGAAAACAAACGAAAGGGGAACAAAGAACCACCTGCCTTGTTTTCATTAAGAATCGCCCCTCTCAGGTGCCCTGTGTGTGATCCGTGCCTCCTGGCACAAACCCCTCGGAGCTTCCCGGGCCCTGGCAGAAACCTGGCCTTGATGTGCCTCCTCTGCTGGGGTTAGTAATGCAGGGGGGTGGGGCGGGGAGGAGGGCTGGGGAGAGGGAGTAGAAAGTCTTTTTGTGCTTTTGTGAAGCAGGAAGAAAAGGACTTAATGAACCACAAACTGGATACTTGACAGGGCGCAGCCCGGTCCACGCTGCCTGCGGAGCAGAGAACACCCAATTGGCCTGGCACTCCCCCAAGCGATGGTCTGAGGATGTAGGCGAATGCCCCAGATGTGACCAATCGGACCCCTCTGACTGGCCTCCCTAGGTGGCCCCCGGGGGATTCAGTGGTGGCATGGGCGAGTGCTGGCACTGGGGTTTGGTTGTACTCTGTGTTGGCTTTTCCTCCTTGTGGTTTGCACCATCTGTTTCTTTTAATGCATAAACAACGAAAATGACTGGTTTGGAATGCAAATTTTTAAAAAATAGATGACCACAGGCATTCCCTAAATGAGAAAAAGAGAGCAAGTTGGGGTTCTGTGACATTTGGCAGGAAGTGAGACCTGAAATACCGGGAAGCAGGAACGCGCCCTGCCAGGGAAGAGGAATAGGAAAATTGTCGCCCACCAACCCCCCTCCTGGGGCTCATGTTACATGTTGATATTCCACCAAGCACAGCCAAGGCCACAGCCACCCTGCCTTCCCAGCCCCCTTCTTCTGTTGTCCACCACAGAGGAACACCACGCTGGGCCTGGCATAACCTGCCTGCGTTTCCTATTTGCATGTGTGCTGTACTCAGCCTCTGAGGAACTTTTGAGGACCAAACAAGAGCTGTGTGGTGAGCAGGTTGTCTGCGAAGGCCAAGAGAGAGCGCTATAAATAGGAGCTGATGAGATAGACCAGAGATACCCCCATTTCTCCTAGACAATAAGTGCAAAAAATACATGGTCAAGGGCATTGGGGACACAGGGTGTTTTTCTTTCCGGGAGGGCATCCTGCTTTTAGAAGGAAGGTTTGCTGGCACCGTCCAGTGGCCGCTCTATAAATGGTTCTTTATGCTTCATGCCAACAAACCTTAAAGCAATAGGCTCGGTTTTTCTCCTGCCTTGGGGCCAGGGGGAGATATGGTGGAAATCATACTCATAAGCAGTTGTAAGCACCAGGGATTGGTACAAAGCCATACTGAACTTTCATATTGACATTTCAGAACCCCTTGGGGAGAAGAGGGAGCTGTAGTGTCACAGTGGACTAGGCATTGAACTGCTAACCTTGAGGCCAGTGGTTCAAACCCAAGAGCCACTCTGCAGGAGAAAGATGAGGCCGTCTGCTCCTGTAAAGACTTAACATTTTAGAACCACAAAGGGGCAGTTCTACTCTGTTCTAGAGTCGCTACGAGTTGGAATCAACTCGGTGGCATGGAGTGAGAGGTGAGAGAAGATGGAAGGGCTGCCTTCCATCCATGTCAGCAGAAGACACACCTGCTGGAGTCCTCTTCCTGCAGTTTTGCAAGCAGCCTGATGCCAGTTTTCCTATTAGGGAAAGGTTAAAAAAAAAAAAAAAAGAACTAAATGTGGTGTCTTGGAAAACAGCTAACTCTTCCTAATTTGTGATGTCTGCCTGCAATATCGGCAAAGGTCATGAGCTAGATTTGAGGTGAGCAGTGTTAGTGATTGGGGTGGGGGCGGGGTGCCTAGGCAGAAACAGGACCCTGGTGATACAGAAACCCTCCAAAAAGACAAAACTGAACTCATTGCCACTGAGTCAGCGACGATTCGTAGTGACCGTGAGGGACAGGGTAGAACGGCTCCTGAGACTTTCTGCGACTGTCGCTCTTGCTGGGAGAAGAGAGCCCTGTCCCTCAGAGCCACGGGATGTCCAACCGGGACCTTGCCGTCAGCAGCCCATCGCTTGGCACCACACCCCTAGCACTGCACACTAGAAGGCTGAAGTATATTTCAAAGTGAACCAAGTCCAAATAACTGCACTCCCTGTGCTCAGCACACCAGTGATGTTCACTGCTGACTCGCGGCAACCCTGTAAGTCAGAGGAGAATGGCCCGTTGGAGTCTCCAAGCCTGTGGTCATGCAGAAGCAGATGCCACAGCGCTCTCTCACCGAGCGCTGGTGGGTTCTGGGTTCGAAGTGCAAGCTTTTCAGGTAGCAGCCACATGCTTAACCACTGAGCCACCAGGCACCTTCCAGCAAAGTATGTCGCTGTGAAACCACGCGGCTGCCAAGTGAGATTCATTTCATTTGCATTGATTCCAGATGCGGACGTCGGGGTGAGTGTGGTTGACCTTTGACATCCCTCCCTCGGATGTAGGTACTGTCAGGGCATTTGCTTCCCCGGTGGAAATGGGAAGATAATTAGCACGAGAGAGGAGCACTCAATCCTGTTCCCTGCAGCGCTCAGACCCAGGGTTTCGTTCGGTTCATAAGTTAGAGACCGCTCCTGGTGACTTCGGGGCGCGCTGTGTGGGGATTAGCTTTATGAAAAACTCGACTGGAATTTTAGCGAGGCTCCTACTGATCACGTCTGGAGATGAGGAGGCATCCTGCGGAAGGCAGGCAGGCACGAGAAGGTTAAGTGCCTGAACCCGGTTATTCACTTTACAAATCACCCAAGCCCCAGGCGGGACGAGGCCGCAGGGAGTTTTATTGCCCCAAAGGGAGAATCCAGGACTTTCGAATTTAAAAAATGGCTCTCCTTGGAAGTGTATTTCTGGAATTGAAACGCCATCCGAGCGACTGTGAAGTGATTCCGTGGTGTTTGGGATAAAGTTATCCCAAGAACTTCCTGTGCCTCGAGGCGGAAAAGGATTCACCTGGTGCGTCTCTGTGTCCTTCCTGCTCTCTCTTCTGTTCTCTGTTCCTCTCACAGGGGGGAGCAGAGGGGGCACATTGCTAGGAACCTAGGGGGGCTTCACTCGGGACTCGGGCTTGCAAGTTTACGTCTCCGTGTCCCCTGGTCCACAGGTGATAACTCCAGTGAGGACGGGCCATGGCTACGTGTACGAGTACCCATCCCGGTACCCCAAGGACACCTATGACATCCCTCCCTCCCACACCGCTCAGGGGGTAAGTACCGGGGTGTGATCGCCAGGGGAGGGGCTCTCCCAGCATGCATTCAGGCATTGGGTGGGCTCTGGGAGAAAGGTGGGTCACAGAGCATGTGTATGCGAGGAGACCTCTTACCCAGGCCCTTCCAGAAGCCGCTTTTTATGTTCTGTTTTTTAGCCAAAGTTACTTAAATTGTGTTTTCTGGAATTGCTTAATCAGGAAAGTCTAGTCTTTTTATCTGAGAAAGTTTTTGTTGAGGATTTTTTTGCCTTTCCTTTCAGGAGGCATTAAGATTTAAATTACAGTCTAAAGTGCAGACAGGGTAAAGACTTCAGCCGAGAGCCCTGTTTGTATTCTTTCTATGGCAAAGAACACATCTGAAAAGACAATTCCCATCAGCCTCTGTTACGTGGGACCCTGCCAGACACTGAGCCGGGGAAATCAATCCATAATGAAACGCACCCAAAGCCAAACCCGCTGCCGCCCCGGCCGTTCTGACTCACCGCAGCCCTAGCAGACAGCGTCGGACCCAGCGCCCAACCCACTGTGCCGCTGGGGCTCTGAATGCAACGTGCAGTCGTGTTTTGAAAATGACCCTTAGCAGACATTTTCATTCTGGGTAACACAAGTGTTCTTCTCCAGGTGTACGACATCCCTCCCTCGTCCGTGAAGGTCCCCATGTTTTCCGTTCCGGTGGGAGAGATAAAAGCTCAAGGGGTTTATGATATTCCTCCCGCTAAAGGGGTAAGTAGTGAGGGGAGGGCTGCTGCTGTCATTGTGTCCAGCCGAGTCCCATGCACGGTGACCCGACACATGCACCCACAGAACTGCACCATAGAGTTTCCTGCATGCTGCCACCAATAGCTGAGCACTTAGCCATTCGCACCACCCAAGGATATGTGTGTGTGTGTGTGTGTGTGTGTGTGTGTGTGTGTGTGTGTGAGAGA